ATTACATAAGAAAAAGGAAGCCTATTTCCTGATCATATCCACTAGGAGACACCCAGTACGCTTAATAACACAATAACAAACATCCATTTAAGCATTAAAAAACCCACATAACTACTGGAAATGACAAACAAAAGATCTCAAACACAACAAATGATCTCAAAACATGTCCAAAACCAGAAAAGAGTAACTGAGACAAATGCACTGGATACAGACAAAGGCTACCCAGAAGAGGAAGAGTAGGTTTTGGCTTTACCTGAGAAAGAATTCAGAAAAATGATATAGAAACAAATTCAAATGCTCCGAAAAGGGGTGGAGGAAAGCAAGGAAGAAGCCAGGAAAGTACTACAATTGAAATCAAACAAGATTGATACAGCACTGGAAACAATTCAAAACCCACAAAAAGAGGTCAAGATGATTAATTATAAAATATCAGAAATGGACAATACACTGAAAGGGGAAAGGAGCAGAATAGAAGAGATGGAAGCCAGAACTAGCAAGCTGGAAGACAAGTCTCTCAATACTTCTAAGATAGAAGAGCAAGCTGAAAAAAGGATAAAAAAAGTCTGAAAAGAGTCTAAGATTCATGCTGGATAACATGAAGAGGAACAATTTAAGAATTATTGGCATTCCAGAACAGGAAGAATCAGAGAAGTCCATAGAGGATATAGTTGAAAAGCTTCTGGAAGAAAATTTCCCTAACATCTTGAAAGATGAGAAGGTAAACATTCAAGTAGCCAAATGTACCCCAGGAAAGATAGACCCCAAAAGAAAGTCACCAAGACATATAATAATCAAGTTCTCCAAAATCAAAGACAGGGAGAGAATCCTAAAAGCAGCCAGGAAGAAGAGAAGTGTCACTTACAAGCAAATCAGATTAAGCTCTGACTATTCAGAACAAACTATGCAGGTAAGAAGCAATGAGGATGCAAGAAACACACACATCCAAAAAGAAGAAAGAACCAAAATTAACACATTAACACAGCATCTACAACAATTAGAAACAGACCAACAGAGGGAACCTACAGCCACCAAAATAAAAGAAATAATAAAGATTAGAGCAGAAATAAATGAGATAGAAAACAGAAAAACTAGAGAAAGAATCAACAGGACAAGAAGTTGGTTCTTTGAAAGGATTAACAAAATTGACAAACCATTGGCAAACCTAACAAAAGAAAAGAGGGAGAAGACACAAATAACACACATTAGAAACCACATGGGTGATGTCACAATAGAACCAAAGGAAATCAAAAGGTTAATAAGAAGCAATGGGGAAACATATTCAAAACCCTAAAAGAAAAAAAACTGGCAACCAAAAACCATCTATCCTGCAAAACTATCAATCAAATACGACGGTACAATTAAAACATTCCAGGATAAACAGAATCTAAGAGATTTTATCAAAACCAAGCCAGCATTTCAAAACATCCTAAAGGGAGTTCTTTGGACTGAAAAGCAACAAGAACAGATAACCAGAGATTGACAGACGTGGCAACACCACCTGGAACTCAGTTGACAGATAGCAGAGTCCAGAACCGAACAAAACTACAACGAATTCAAAGGAGCTGGGAGGTCAACCAAAGATCAAAATTATATCAATGTCAGTTGCTGTCATGGTTCGACCGATAAACTGCATTGTCGCTGTGTCCCAGAACATGGGTATTGGCAAGAACGGAGACCTCCCCTGGCCCCCGCTCAGGAATGAATTCAAATATTTCCAAAGAATGACCATGACCTCTTCAGTAGAAGGGAAACAGAATTTGGTGATTATGGGTAGGAAGACCTGGTTCTCCATTCGTGAGAAGAATAGACCTTTGAAAGATAGAATTAACTTGGTTCTTAGTAGAGAACTCAAGGAACCCCCACAAGGAGCTCATTTATGTGCCAAATGTCTGGATGATGCCTTAAAACTTATTGAGCAGCCAGAATTAGGGAATAAAGTAGACAGTTTGGATAGTAGGAGGCAGTTCTGTGTACAAGGATGCCATGAACCAGCCAGGCCACGTTAGACTATTTGTGAAAAGGATCATGCAGGAATTTGAAAGTGACACATTTTTTCCTGAAATTGATTTAGAGAAGTACAAACTTCTTCCAGAATACCCAGGTGTTCTTTCTGCTGTGCAAGAAGAGAAAGGCATTAAGTACAAATTTGAAGTATATGAAAAGAATGATTAATATGAAGCCATCTCCTGATTTACTTCAAGTTGTTCTCTTCCTCTACAAAGAATTATGTATTTTAACATTAGGAAAAAGATTTTGTTGGCTTTTGATCTATGAATAGTTGTTTCTAAGCAGTGTTTTTTTTTTTTCCTCCATCAATCCTAAATACACTATCAGATATCGTTAAAAAAAATTATATTAATGTCAAAGAAGGGATAAACGTAGCAACAGAGATCCAGGGAGTGAGGATGTCAGGTAGATTACAGGATACAATAGATTCTCTTTAATGGAGAGAAAAGTTAATAGTCTATAAGGTAACCACAAAGAAAGTTAATACTTCACAATTTACCATGAAAATGAACTTCCAAGCAGAACAAGCAAACATGAAAACTAACAAGAAACTGACAAGAAATAGCACAAAAAACACAAACTCAGCCCAAGAAGGCATGCAGAACAAAGGAACGAACAGCACTATAAAAAAATTAACATAATGACAGCAATTATTTCATACCTATCGATAACTACATTGAATGTCAATGGATTGAATGCACCAGTGAAGAGACAGAGAGTGGCAGAAGGGATAAGAAAACAATACCCGTCAATATACTGCCTGCAAGAGACACACCTTACATACAAAGACAAAAACAGACTAAAAGTTAAAGGATGAGAAAACATATACCAAGTTAACTGCAACAATAAATAAGCAGGAGTGGCAATACTAATATCCGATAAAGTAAACTTTAATACAAAAACCAAGATAAGAGACAAAGAAGGACACTATCTCATGATCAAAGGGTCAATTGAGCAAGACGGCATAACCATAATAAATATCTATGCTCCCAATGAAAGAGCACCAAGATATATGAAGCAAACCTTACTAGAATTGAAGAAAAATAGATAAAT